CACCCTCCCCTAATCCTCCTGGTATCACTACTCTCATTGTTAACCCTGAGGGGTTTATCTGTCCTGGATTCCCTGTGTTGCAGGGTCTTATCTGTAGCAGTGTGCATGTTCTGGTCTAATCTGATTTGTAAGGTAGAATTGGGGTCATAATAGTGGGGTGAAGGAAGCACCAAAGAACTCAAGGAAAGGTGTGTGTTTCACCGGTGCTATACTGTACCCTGACTGGCTCATCTCTTCCCCTGTGAGCCCTTGGTGAGGGGAAGTACAATTGTCTACAGATGGGCATTGGGTCTCCAACTCCATGCTCCCTGCCCCCATTCCCACTGGGTACGATTTTGTTCCGGGTCTTAGATGGCTGATACCGGGTCCCAGGCACTGGCCATTCTGAATCAGAAAGTTATATGGTTGACTATGCTGGGAATGAAGCAATCAGGGGAATGGCATACTCATCAACAAGAAGGCCATTTCAAGATCTATCTTGAAGTACAGTATTTGTGATAAAATTAAATGTATCCGCATTTATAGATATCTGTATCAATACAACAATTATTTGAACTTATGCACCAACCACCAAAGCTAGTAATCAAGGAAATGAAAAATTCTACCAAAGTCTTCAGGCTGAAACATGCAATCAAGATGTACCGATAATTGTTAACCACTGGAATGCAAAAGTTGGGAACAAAGAAGAAGGTACAGTAGTTCGAAAATATGGTCTTAGTGATAGAAATGAGGATGACATGATAGAATTGGCAAGACCAATAATTTCTTCATTGCAGATGCCTTTTTTTCAGAGACACAAATGGTGACTATATACATGAACTTCTCCATAGGGAATACACAGAAATCCAGCTGACTACATCTATGGGAAAAGTTGAGCATCCGCAGCTAAAAACACGCCAGGGGCTGAGTGTAGAACAGACCATTAATTGCTCATCTGTAAGTCCATGTTGAAGCTGAAGAAAATTAAAATAAATTTATAAGAGTCAATACGACTTTGAGTATTATTCCACCTGAATTTCAAGAACACCTCAAGAAGAGATTTGCTAAATTGAAAATCTCCTCCTGATGAGCTGCTTAGAGAACATCAAAAGCAACATTCATGAAGAAAGCAAAAGGTCAGTAATAATTCAGAAAAGAGTAGATCAAAATGGATACCAAAAGAGATTCTGAAACTTGCTCTTAATCACAGAATAGATAAGACAAATAAATGATGAAGTCAGAGGTGGAACAGAAATTTTCAAAAGGCCACTGGAGAAGACAAGGTCAAATGTTACAATGAAATGTGCAAAGACCTAGGGTTAGAAAACCAAAAAGGAAGGACATATTAAATATATCATAAAATGGAAGAACTCAAGAAAAAAATTCAAGCCTTGCATTAAAATACTGAATGGCTCTATGAGCAAAACAGTGAATGATGCAGTAAGCATCAAACACCAGAAAGATAGAAAGAACAAAGTCACTATGCCAAAAAAAACTAGTCAACATTCCACCATGTCAGGAGGGAGTATACGAGCAAGAATCAATGGTGATAAAGGAAGTATTATCCAAAATAAGCATTAGCCAAATTCAAGGTTCCAGGAATTGGTGAAATAACAATTAAAATGTAGCAAACTAAGGATAGCATTAAGACAAATGAGAATTCCAGAACACCTTATTGTGCTCATGAAGAACTTGTACATGAATCAAGAGTCAGTTCTGCAGACAGGACAAGGAAATACTGCCTGGTTTAGGATCAGGAAAGGGATGAGTCAAAGTTCTGTCATATCACAGTACATATGTATAAACTGTATGCTACGCTTAACTGGAGAGCGGCATTATATTAAGAAGAATATGGCATCAAAATTGAGGTAGGAAGGCTTGTTAACAAGCTGCAATAAGCGACACAACCCTGCTTGCTGAAAGTGAGGATGACTTGAATCACTTACTGATGAAGATCAAGGATGGTAGCCTTCAGTGTGGATTACAACCCAATGTAAAATATATCAAAATCCCCACAGCTGGACCAGTGGGTAACATCATGATATATGGTGAAAAGGTTGAAGTTGTCAAGGATTTTGTCTTGCTTGGATCCACAATCAAGGCAACAGTCAAGAGCTCATATGATGTATTGCACTGGGTGACTCTGCTGCACAAAACTTCTTCCAAGGTCACGGGGAGGAGACGAGCCAGTCAGGGTGCAGTACAGCAATGATGGAACATACAACTTTCCTCTAGTTCCTAAATGCTTCCTCCCCCTGCGCCACCCAATACAACATAAAAGTTGTATGGGCCCCCAATAATATGATTTAAAAATTTTAAAAACAAAAAAATTATTTCAAGTACTGAATAGCAAGGTTACTCTGAAAATACCATGACTTGGGGCAGGCCTACCTTAGTCCTCAATCACCTCATATGCATTTGAAAGTTGGACACTGAATAAGGAAGATCAAAGAAGAACCAATGCATTTGAACTACAGTGCTGTGGAAGAATATTCCAATACCGTGGACTACCAAGGGAACAAACAAATCTGTCTTGGAAGAAGTATGGCCTGAATGCTTCTTAGAGGCAAGGATGGCAAGACAAGTTACCAGGAGTGACCAGTCCCTGGAGAAGGACATCATACTGGTGAAGGAGAGAAGAAGCAAAAAAGAGGAAGGCCCTCAACAAGATGGATTAACACAGTGGCTACAACACTGGGCTCAAACGAACAACTGTGAGGACGGCAGAGGACAGGGCAGTGCTTCGCTCCACTGTACACAGGCCTGTATGAGTTGGAACCAACTCCCTGGCACTTGACAACATAAAAGATACTGGGGCTGCATATGTGTCCAAAGCTAGCTATTATGATTAAAAAAAAGAACAACTCACTGCCATCTAATTGAGGCCAACTCTTAGTGGCCCTGTAGGACAGTGTAGAACTGCCCCGGTGAGTTTCTGAAACTGTAACACTTTAGGGGGTCCCCGGAAGCCCCATTTTTTTTCAGCAGAGAGGCTAGTGGTTTTGAACTGCCCTCTTGGCAGCTAGCAACCTAACTCATAACCACTAGACCATCTACATTAATATTTAAAAATTTACTTTGATGTCAAGTGAAATTTTCAAAGATATGACCATGTGTGTGTGTCTGTGTATGTCTGTGTACATACATGTGTGTGTGTGTGTGTGTGTCCACCAATGAAAGCACACTTGGACGATTCAACTAGTATTTCCCAAATACATGTTAATAAATGTGGGTTAGGTAGGTTACCATGACAACTAATACAGGAGATCTTATTCAACATGAAAGAAGGCAGGCTTCTTCTTCAAAAGAAGTCTATATTGGCATACGGAAGCATCCTTTACAATAAAATCCCATATCTAACAGTAGTTGTGGTTGATCATCTCAGGGAAGAGAAAAGTCACAAATATGTATAACACACACATTTTTAAAGCCATGTACATAAATCAAAGGAAACCACTTCTCTTAAGGCAAGCATATGAAGATACTAAAGCAGCATTCCAATTAAATATTCATATATTCAATATTTCAAAATAAGAAATTTGGGTATACACATGCATAATTTACAATTCTATAGTGAAACCTGTCCACAGAGGCCATTTTCACTATATTTCATAGCATCCCAACTGGAAATGTACAATGCGGCTTCTCTCTGAAGCGTTACAACTGTGAAGCACAGGGTAATGCACTGCAAGCAAACACAGAAGACAGACCCTGTTGAGCACATGCCTTCTTTTACTCAAATGATTGTTGTAACAAGTATTCAACAAGAGAATCCTACTAACTGTGCTACTTTATGAAACAGTCGGGGGATAGAAAAAAATGATCTGATGTAGGGTGAAAATGCAAGCTTGACATTAAAATTAAGACTTTAAGGCAGAAAACTATACCTTGCCTGTGTACAGATTCTTGTCCATTTTAGTTCATTACAATAAAGCGCTATCAAATTTTCCATAGGATACATGGGATAAAATATGACATGATGGCTTTGAAATCTATAAATAAACATCACACGGTTTCCCAAATAGACATATAATGGGGATTTCAAATAACAAAGCCTATACCAGTCAAATTTATATCTCAGGTAACCAAATTCAAATTGGACTGCATGTCTCGGAACTTCCCTAGAAATGTTTTAGTAGTAAAATAGATGTGCCACAAAAACAGTATATCCAAGACACCATCGTTTATTCTTAAATAAGAAGTATAAACTTGTCCTTTTGAGATACAAAGGATGATGTGGACTAAGACTAACATATTCAACCTTGGTTTACAGACAACAGACTTATAATTAATTTGTAAGCAACTGTACAATGAATACACACACAACACACAAACACTCTATCCTTGGTAACCCTAAACAGGTATATTTAAAGTAAAACAAAACATAAATGAAATTTTATCTCTATCATAAATTATAAGGGATAAAAATCCTTGGGCATTGCAATGAGTATACTTTTGCCTTAGAGCTAATACTTTAATTTTCAAGAACCACAAAGAAAAAAATCAAAACTAGTCAGTAACAATGCAGCGTCTAAAAGCAATAAACTCAAAATTAAGTTATAAATAATTTAAAGCATGTCATGAAGATGTATTAATAATTCATCAGATAAATAATTTACTAAATAATCAAATAAATAAATAATGAAATACATAAATAAATCAGCAAATAAATAATTCCACAAAATAACCTAAACAATAAGTCATGCAAACAAATCACAAACCTACAAAACTACAATGATTTCCTGGACTCTGATATTTTAAATAAGCAAATGTACATAAATTAGATCAATCCATGTTAGAATTAGAAAAAAATTTTCAGTGCTACTGGTAAAATCCCCATCTCAATACACAGGAACACATTTTCAATATTTAAAAGAGTGCACAGGATTACATTTCATAAATTATGAACATGATTATAACATACCTTTCTCTGTATTTTACCATATCTTTGCCTAACATATTTCCCTCCAATTGGACACTTAAAATATTCTTTAACTTATATTTTTCAAAGCAGTACTTACAGTACAATTGTGCTATACAGGCTTTCTGATAGTTTTCCTCCTTTCACCAAGTCTTCAAAAATTTTCTGTAAGGAGAGAAAAATAAAAACAGCCTCTATTATTACATATGTCATTCCATTCATTAGTGGAGCATGTTTTTTAATTCTACAAGGTAACAAGAGGAAGTGACATTATTAGTTGTGAGCCCCATCAAGCTTTTCAGAAGTCTTTGGTGAACTAAGGCCAAGCTGGTGAAAGCCTGATTCTCTCGCTATTGGAGCTGGCAGGTAAGCTGTTGCATGTAAGTTCTTGGAACTTCAATGTAAAGACAAAAACTGAGAAGGTAAAAGTGACCAGATAACATTGACTGTTATCTTCCATTTAGAAACCTCCAATTCCTTGAGATCACAGGGCTACAATTTGAACATTCTTATAGTCTAACTATAGTATCACACTCAAAAAGTGACGTCCTGAGCACAATTCTTTTTAATATATTTAGAGTAGCACGCATCCAAGTATTTTACTTCATTTATCTCAATGAATTTCCAAAGAAACCTTTCCAGTAGGTACAATTTCACCAACTTATCATCAAGAACACTGAGACTCAGTAGGAGGCAATATGGACCCCCCAAAAGCCCACAAATGACAAGGAAGATCAAACTTTGTCCTCCTACTTAATTATGCATGCTTGTTGAACTATTAAAAACAAAAAACAAAAACCTGAAACTCACTGTGAATTCCAACTCAGAGTGACCCTATAGATATGGTTTCCAAGCTTTACAAATCTTCACAGAAACAGCCAGCCTCCTCCCTGCTGCAGTGCAGTTGGTGGGTTTGGATTGCTGACTCTGCCTGACACCATCACCAGGGCACCTTCACTGCACTACAGAGGGTCCTTCATTTTGAGCCCAGAGTTTTAAAAATATATGGTGAATTTGAAGACTTGGAATACTGGGTGGAGCCATGGTTCCAAATTAGGGGCAATAATGCCCATCAGGAATTATTTGGGGACATTTTGGTTGTTCCAACTGGCATCGAGTGGGAAATGCCCGGTTGCTACTAAATATCCCAGCAAGCACCGGCCAGCCCCCAACAACAAAGACTCATGCAGACCAAAATGTCAACCAACAGAGCTAAAAGTGAGAAGCCCTGGGTTAAATTAAAAAAAAAAAATTAAGTTACTGTTGCTATTATAAAATTATACACATTAGTTTCAGGGATGTAGGAACAGAGAAATAGTCATTCCGTCCAATATTTTTATTTGCTGAATCTTTTTTTCTGTGCACAGCATTATGTTTGGTGGAACACTCTGAATAAAAATGTGCCTACTTCATTTACTTCACTAAAGTGATGATTAATTTTCTTGAAATCAGTACAGAAAAAGTAAATCTAGTTACAAAATTTTTTAAAACTTCCTACACCAAAATTTTTTCAACAAATATGAGCATTAAAAGTTAAATTTATGAGCTGACCTCATCTGTGTGACTAAGATATTTAATAATATTTAAAATTTCATAGACCTAGAAGGGATTATACTTAACCAATATAATACACAGTCCACAATTTTCCCTAAAATATATCAAATGTATTCTGAATAATCTTTGTGATAATTATGAAAAGCATTGGAGAAGTCAATTCAGCCATATAACTGTTAAAGGTTTCAGGTTTCAGGACTGATGCAACTTTCGTATCCTTTAAAATGTTTTTAAAGGTTACCATTTAATCTCTCTATTCTCAAAGTTTATTTCAGTTTTCTTTAATATGAATCTATTATCTACCATGTACATTGCCGATTTCTTTATGTTCAAAACATATTATACAGTGGCTTTACACAAAATAAATGTATCAGATAGGACTAAGTCATATCTCTCTCAATCCAAAAATAATAACCAGGATTCATGGATTAAAGAATACTTCTCTCCCATATAAATATCCAGAAGAGAAAGTTTCATATAAGCAATGGTTGATGCGGCAGCTCCATTGTTATCAGAGACAAAATTCCTTGTACCTCTTTGCTCTACCATACACTTTTTCTATCCAAAGTCCATCCATAGTCAGAGGAGGCTTTTACCTAATCATACATCCAACCATGCTTGGCAGAAAGGGAATACGGGTGAATTTTTTTTTAAAAAGCCTGCATGCTCCCTTCCAACATCTCCATTCTAGTCTCAAAAACCTTAACTCGGTTCTTTGACTAAGCCCAACTACTTGGGAGGCCAGGAAATGTGGTGTCTTACACTGGCAATAACACCCAGACATAAATTTGCTGTTCTTCTTACTAAGAAAGAGAGGTGGAATGCCTTTTGCAGTCAAATGGTAAAGCCTATGGCAGTGGAAGTTACAACTCTTCAAAAATTAAGGTTTTTCTTAGAGAGGTTCACTGAAAATTACAGATATTAGTAAAGGAAAATAAAAACTTAAATATCTAGCTAGGGGAAAAACTGAAAAAATGTTGGGATAATCTCAGAATAGAATACTGTGTAATCGCTAAATGTCAATTTTAAGAATCTTACTGCTGTAAAGAAGTGTCCATAATATTAAATGGAAAATAAAATATATTTAATATAAAATAACCTCAATCTTATATAAATATACATGCACTTATGCACATACTATATGCACACACAGTATAGACCTATATTGTCAGATAGGCACATAACATAGTGAAATTACTTTCTCATTTTTCTACAATGATCGCATATTAGACTTTCAGTTTGTTTGCATGAAAGGTTTTTGCCTAGATGAGGAAGCAATCAGGTACTTTATAAATGTGGTTAAATTCAGGCTGGCTTCAGTTTATTTGATTACTCAGGACTTGCTAACAACAACAAAAAGCTAGTGGAAAATATGTAACTGGGGTATATTTTTCTGAAATGGTAAAAACATAGATGTTTTCCAGTAATTGGTGGTGCAAAACTATTCTCTCTGAGCCAAGCTGTATTCAAACATCCTACCATTCACATCTCACACTTGGCGGCTCTGCTGACGTCACTCCTAAGCAGATGCTCACCCCATCACTCCGAACCATTTACTCCGACACAGGGATAACTTTGCTCACCTCACTCTGTGGAACCTATCCTTTATGCTTCTACGAGTCCATTTAGTTACTGTATTCCTCATGTATTTTTTAAAATTTCTAACCTATCATCTACTCTTTTGGATACTTACCATATATGCTTGTGTATAAGCCAAGTTTTTCAGCATATTTTGTATGCAGTTTTTGTGGTAAAATTAGGTGCCTCGGCTGTGTATTCGGGTCGGCCTATACTCAAATACATATGGTATATAAAGTACCCCTTGAACAGAAATGATACCTTTTTATAGTTTCATACCTATATTTCATTGTCTTGAATTTTCCAGTGTTATAACTAGGTATACATACAACTGTTATATCAATATTAACTTGTCTGCAAATCTTATAATTACCAACAGAGTCTCATCATTTAGAAAGCTTTGAAAGTTCCCCACATTTTCTAGAATGATTTAATTTCCTAAAATTCCCATTACTACCACATAAAAAAATAACAAAAAAGCAAGAAATTGTTTTAACACTACTAATAGCTGCATATAAGGGAACAAACTGACAAGCAAGCAAGCAAAAAATTAAAAAGGAAGCTACATGAGTACACACTTTGCAAAAAGCCATGATGGCAGTGAAAGTTCAAAATCCATCTGCATAACACCCATGGGGAGCAACCCCTCTTTGAATGCCAATGGACCATTGACCAGGGATGTGAACAGCCCTGACCACAGACAGTTACAACAGGAAGTGAATTATTATAGCTATAGTTAGGTTAAAACTTAGTATCTTATCATTTGTTTGCCTTTTTAACCCATTCTTAATTTGTTCTGTTCTTATTGTTGTCTGCCTTTCCTTAGATTGAAAACAAATATAACCAATGTCATTGAACAAGTTGTATAGAAATTATACAGCCAGAATACTCCTTAGAATCAAGGAGAATGAGAATTGGTCTCATGTAAGTTGTACATGTTGTCAGAAGAGACCAGGGCACCATCATGCATGATAAAGGAGAGGGACAGGGAATAGAGGAAAGACTCTTGACAAGAGAGATTGTCGCGGGGCTGTTGCAATGGGCTAAAATATAATGACTGTGGGAAGGGCACCAGACTGGGCAGTGTTTTCTGCTACTGTTCATAGGGTCGTCATGAGGCACGGTCCACTCAGAAGCAACCAACCAAGCAAGAAATATGTCTAGACAACCCAGAAGGTGAAACTGACAGGAGGCGGGGATACTCAGAGACAACTTCCCAAATGGAACAAAAAGCATACAGGGTTAAAATGGGGTTCTCCACCAGGGAAGATGCTACCACCCAGGAGTTATTTGGCCGTCTGCAGACATTTTGCGGGCAGGGGTACTACCGACGTTAAGGGTGGAGGCCAAGGAAAGGACTAAATGCGTAAAATGCACTGGACAGCTCCGACAGCAAAGAATTAATCGGGCCTACAAGGTCAGTAGTGCTAGAAGGCTAGCAGTGAGCGGGCGAGAGAAGAGACAGCATTCACACAGATGGAATAACATGAGTAAAGAATGGTGACTGAAAAGCATGAATATGACTGACTAAAGAGCAACGGGAAGCACGATTTAGAAAGCATTCATTGAGAGGGTATTATAATGGACTTGGACAAAAAGTCAGACAGAATAATGAGGGAAAATAGTTATTATAAGAAGAGAAATACAAGAGAAGCTGAGGCACAAAGTAGCAACATAACTGAAACTAAATTGTAGATGGATTATGGACACTGGTTTCCAGCATTATGGCAGACTAGACGCCTTGACAATACTAGATACGACTGCAAACGCTGGGGTCAGAGGCTGCTTTTACAAAGGAAAAGTAGAAACGGTAGGAGACAATACGCAGGAACCAGCTTTCAGCCTGAAACCAGTTAGTTTATTCATCCTAAGGGTAAGTGCCTAACATTGGTGAACATAATGGCTAATTTGGTGGCTGTACAAATGTTCAAGAAATAAAAATTTTAAAGAATCTAGCAAAAAGTTAATTCCTATACAAAGTGGGTAACCAAAGGCCGCACCCTTGAATTAAGAGTTAAAATTGAAATAATCTA